TGGGCGGGGCGTGCGGGGCGGGGCGGGGCTTAGGGGCGGGGATCTGGAGGCCAGCCCTGGACGGGGCTTCCGGGTGGAGGGCGGGGCTTGTGGCCAAACGGGGTGGAGTGTGCGGGCGAATCGGCGCGGGGCGGGGCTTACGAGGGGGGCGGAGCTAATAAGCCAAGAGGCGGGGCTTTTAGGCCAAAGGGGCCGGGAGTTACCGGTGGCGGGCGGGGCTTAGAGTCAAATGGGGCGTTGTTTGCAGGCCAAGCTTGGTGGGACCTGCAGGCAGGGGGCGGGGCTTTGGGCCCACCTGGGCGGGGCCTGCAGCCCAGGGGGCGGGGTTTTCAGGCCAGCCTGGGGGGGCTCGCTTCGGGCTCTGGAGACCCGAGGCCGGGCTAGGTCCTCGAACTTGACCCGGGACCAGCCCTAGCTCCCTCCCCCCTCCCTGGCCCCAGAACCGAGATAATTACATCCGCTCGTGCAAGCTGCTGCCCGACGGCCGGAGCCTGATCGTGGGAGGCGAGGCCAGCACCCTGTCCATCTGGGACCTGGCGGCGCCCACCCCCCGCATCAAGGCCGAGCTGACCTCCTCGGCCCCCGCCTGCTACGCCCTGGCCGTCAGCCCCGACGCCAAGGTCTGCTTCTCCTGCTGCAGCGACGGCAACATCGTGGTCTGGGACCTGCAGAACCAGACGATGGTCAGGTGGGTGACGGTCCGGTGGGCGCGGGCGCTCTGGGCCTCCGGCGAGCCTCGGGCTGCGGGGCGGCGCGACCGGCCCGGCTCTGGATGGAGGCCTGCGCCCTTCTCCCTCCAGGCAGTTCCAGGGCCACACGGACGGGGCCAGCTGCATCGACATTTCCGATTACGGCACCCGGCTGTGGACGGGCGGCCTGGACAACACGGTCCGCTGCTGGGACCTGCGGGAGGGTCGCCAGCTGCAGCAGCACGACTTCAGCTCGCAGGTGCCCGGCGGGCTCTGCGGGAGGGGGTGGAGACCCGGGACCCCAGCCACCTGTCCTCTTCCCGTGGAGCGCCCACTTCCAGAGGCCGGACCCGACCGATACCTGCCGCGGTGTCCGTCTTTTTTGTCCTCCAGACAGGTCCACAGGCTTCCCCTTTGACTCTCCAGAGATGCAGGGAAACACAAAAGAGCTGATTCATTTTCAGCTGTGGGCCACTAAGGCCCTCGGATCTTCTTCCCTCGTGCCTTTGTTCAGGCGTTCCCTGGTAGCTTTGTCTCTTCCTGGGTAGCTGTTTTCTCCTCCCCAACAAGAGTCGCCCTCTGGAGCCCAGCCAGAGCCCTTGGCCTGCCCTTCCTCACTGAGGATGTCCCCGCTGACGGGGGACGGGTGGAGGCTGACATGGGAGCTGGGCACGGAGAGGTCCCCCCATGGAGGCCGTTGAGGGAGTCCAGGTGAAGAGGTGAGACCCAGCAGGGTCCTCAGGGCTGAGCAGAATCAAGGCGAGGGCTTCAGGCGCCCGGGACCCAGAGTCTGCCCCTCTGGCTTTGGGGGCAGGGTGTGACCTCTTGTCCTGTCATTTGGGGTTTCCAGGGGCTGGTCCCACCCCATACGTGGGACACCTCTGAGACTTCCGCACTGTGTTCCCTCTGGCTTTCCCTTTTTTTTTTGAGTTGGAGTCTCACTCTGTCGCCCAGACTGGAGTGCAGTGGCCGGGAGCGGCCACTGCAGCCTCGACCCACTGGGCTCCGGCCTCAGCCTTCCGGCAGCCGGAACTACAGGCGCGCGCTACCACGCCCGGCTCATTTTTTGATTTATTGATTTATTGATGAGATGAGGTCTCGCTGCCCAGGCGGGTCTCAAACCCGCGGGCTCAGGCGGTCCACTCACCTCAACCTCCCAAAGACGCGGGATGACAGGCTGAGCCACCGAGCCCGGCGTAGGTTTCAGAGGCAAACTGGACAGAGGGCAAGCTGGCGATGGGTCTTGAAGAATGAGTAATTCATCAGTTAAAGAAAGAAAAGGCTGGCTGGGCTTGGGGACTCACGCCTGTCATCCCAACCCTTTCGGAGGCCGAGGCGGGAGGATCGCTTGAGCCTAGGGGTTTGAGACCAGCCTGGGCCACCTAGCGAGACCTCGGCTCTACAAAAAATAAAAACAACTAGCCAGGTGGCGCGTGCCTGTCGTTCCTGCTACTCGGGAGGCAGAAGGATGGCCTGAGCCCAGCAGGTCGAGGCTGCAGTGCCCGTGAGCGTGCACCGCCCTCCAACCTGGGCGAGAGTGAAACTCTGACTCAAAAAAAGAAAAAGAAAGTGGAGTCCTGGCTGCCTGGCCTTGGCCTCTCTGGACTCGCATTGTGACCTTGGGCGGGCTGTGTGACCTTGTAGAATCCACTTCGGCTTCTCACGGGGAGCCATTGTGCTCCCTGGCTACCCCTCCGCCCGCCCACTCAGTGCTGTTGAGGCTCAGAGCAAGTGACGGATGTACACCGTGCACCGGGGGTCCCGTGTGGTTCTGATGAATATTAATGGCCCGACACGCGGCCACCCGCTGAGCAGCCGGGGCCAGCTGTCTCTCCCAGCAGGGCGCAGCCGGAGGAGATCGGGTGCTGGACCGCCCCCAGGGGCCGTGACCCGTCCCTGCCCTCCCTTTGCACTCCCAGATCTTCTCCCTGGGCCACTGCCCCAACCAGGACTGGCTGGCCGTGGGCATGGAGAGCAGCAGCGTGGAGATCCTGCACGTGCGCAAGCCCGAGAAGTACCAGCTGCACCTGCACGAGAGCTGCGTGCTGTCGCTCAAGTTCGCATCCTGCGGTGCGTCTCCAGGACGGGCCACCCCGAAGCGGGCCCCAACCGGCCGGGGGCAGCGGCTCACGCCTGTCTTTTGGTTCTGGGGGGGTGTTCTTTGAGGTGTCTCCCAGGCTGGCGTGCAGTGGCACGCTCCAGGCCACCGCGGCCTCGACGTGCTTCCAAGTGGCTGGGACTACGGGCACGTGCCACCACGCCCGACTGAGTTTTTGATTTATTGTAGAGATGAGGTCTGGCCAAGTTGCCCAGGCGGGTCTCGAACCC